TTTCCCCTGTGACTTCTGAAGCCAGGGAAGCCTGTGACAAGCAGAACCAGAAACACGCGGTCACCCTAGCAACCGTGGGTAACATGGGACAGCCTGGCCTGCTTTACTGTGCCCACCCAAGCAGATGGGGACAGCCTGAGGAATGTGAATAAAATGTTTTCGCGGTGCCTTGAGAATCCTGTCAATCCAAAATCTAATGCCGTTTCCGTCAGTATGCATTTGTGTGCACACATGTTCAACGGGAAGGAATGAACACCTCTCCCACAGCCACTTCTCACGGGGAAGGCACACTAGAGCTGCATTCAAGAGTTTGTGCAAGTCTGGGGATGTGGAATTCCACACCTTGCCTCACAGCTCTGTGTGGACAGGATGCCTGGAGGGGTGCTGTGGGGCTTAAGGGGATCACTGGCTTTGCAGCACACAGCTCTTGTGGAACCGGTTCTGTGGCCATGACAGGTCACTTGGTCTCTCCGACTGACCATAAGATGGAGAATTAAATGCTGTCTGAGGTCCATTCTAGCTCCCTTGTCTCTAGATCTGGTTCTAACTATGTCTGCCCTACCCAGATTCCATCACAGCTAAGTCACCACTGCCACAGTTGGAGCCCCGAGGAGCCCTATTTCTTGGACTCTGGCCTCACACCGGGAGCCCAGCTGTTGCTCTTGCCCCTTTCACTACAGGTGCCAGCCAGTTCCCTGTGTTTTGGGACTCTTGGGGGATACAGGGTGGGAACAATTGGAATCATGGCCTTGGGAGAGGAACAAGTTAGGACAGACCACAGGCAGGCATGCTCCTTTCCCCAGAGTCTCCTCCTCCTGACAGACACTGCCCCTCCCTCTCTCAAGCACTTTCCAGTAATGGCCGCCCACTGCCGGCAAGAAGCCAAGAGTGAAGAGATCTAGCCCTTTCCTGTAGCCTGGGCTCAGCCTAAAGGCTCCTCAGGGCTGAAGCCCCACTGCAGAATACTAGGAAGAAAGACCAAACAGAAGACTGGGGGGTGGGGTGGGATGGGAGGGGAAGGACGCCAGGGACATGACTGCAGCCCAGGTATCCTGGGAGCTGTCTTCAGTAGAAGAAAGCATATTGTCTCCTGGCCAAGAGACCCCAAACCCACGCCTGAGTGGCCTGCCAGGGCACATCTTGCCTCTCAGAGCACCAGCTATTCATCTGTAGGAGCACCAGCTGTTCACCTGCCACAGAGGACTCTTCCAGAAAATCATAGTCATCCCCATGAGCTCCTCACAAAGGTCTGCAGGGCCCAGCAGAGCCAGCTCAGGAAAATACTGATACTCAGCAAGTGACTGAGAGCTCTTTACCCCAGGTTCAGAATCCTTCCTTGCAGGCTTGCCCTCTGCAGCGTAGCTGCACTACCTGACTGTTAGGACTGAGTGAGGTGGCCTGTGCTTCCAGCACAGTGCTGGCTCGTGGGGCACCTTCAGAACAGCAAGCATCCTCCGTGGTACTGCCCCTAGCTTGCTCCACTCACACACCCTGTCCAGGCAGGAGCTGTGGCCAGCTCATCTGTGGGCACCAGCTCTGTGGATTGGCCTGACGAACACAGGAGGCTTTTTCCCAGCCTTGCTGCTAGGTGGAGGTGGAAGCTGTCTTCTGCTTTCTGTGTGCTGTCTCTTTAAATTCTGTCTTCTCCTAAGGCAACTGTTGTTGTTGACTCTAGCTGACTGGAGCTGGACTCTTTTTGTGTGTATGGGTGGTACTTTTTAAAGGATTTATTTGTGTGTGTGTGTATGTGTGCTCACATGTGTGCCATACCCTGCCTGTGGGGATCAGAAAATAACCTATAAGAGTTGGTTCTCTCCATTGTGTGGCACCCAGGGATCAAACTTGGCTCATCAGGCTTGGCAGCAAGCACCTTTACCCACTGAGCCGTTTCACCAGTCCCTAGAGCTGCATTCTTGACCTTGGAAACTGCTTTCTGGCCCATTATAAGAATTCTACTCCCCTAAACTCAACTGACTCACCTTCCTAAATGACTAAATGCCCATTTAAAGAGAATTTTAAACTTTTAAACTCAGTTTTGGAGGGTACTGTTTTTTGGGGGTTTTTTTTGTTGTTGTTTTTAAAGATTTTTATTTATTTATTATGTATACAGTCTTCGGCCTGCATGCCAGCAGGGGGCACCAGATCTCATTCAAGGTGGTTGTGAGCCACCATGTGGTTGCTGGGAATTGAACTCAGGACCTCTGGAAGAACAGTTAGTGCTCTTAACCGTTGAGCCATCTCTCCAGCCCGAGGGTACTGTTTTTTGCTTTGTGTGTATGTGTTTACATTGTGTATGTGTGTATTTACATTGGGTGTGTGTATGTGTATATATGTGTTTACATTGTGATTGTGTGTGTGTGTGTGTGTGTGTGTGTGTGTAGGCCAGAGGTTAAGACAGTTGGGTGTCTTCTATAACTTTTTACCTTATATATTGAGAGAAGGTCTCTCACTTGAACCCAGAGCTGGTTGATTCAACTAGTCCAGCCAATCAGCTTGCTCTGGGTAGTCCCCATTTCCTCCTTACCCTTGCGGGATAGTGGGTGGTCTGCTACACCCACCCAGGATGTGTGTGGGTTCTGGGGATCCAAACACCAATCCTTTGCTGGGGCAGCAAACACAAAATTTACCCAGCAAGCTATCACCCCTGCCCCAGTGCTGGAGGTTTTAGTCTGAGATTGAATGACCTTCTTGCTTTGGGTCTGTGCTGAGGCAATGGGGGCAGGGCATGGTGAACCAAAATGCTTAAATGGTGAACCAAGGAGCAAGGAGAGAACCTTAGTTGTGGGGGCCCTTACTTCCTCCCCTTCAAGGACACCCTCCCAGTGACCTAAAAACCTCATTTGACCTCTTAAAGGATCCGTCACTGCCTACTGTTACTATCCTTTAAAACTTGGAGCCTGAGAGTCACTCAGATCCACAGTGTAGCAGGCCCTATAGTCTCCCCTTCAGGGCAGTGCAGATCTCTGAGTAAGGCGCTGTGGCTGTCTGTCTCCACTCTTTAGCTGGTTTCCTGACCCTGTGGGTGCCAGGAAAAAGGGTGGTGACTATGTCGAAGGTTGGGAGAAGGAGGCACAAGAGGGAAACCCTGTTTTGCCCTCGGCAAACAGGCTGGTCAGGGAGGACCTGGACGAGGAGTCGGATGCACGCTTAACCAGCCGCACAGCTGGGGCCTGTCTACTGGAAAAAGACAATGGCTCATTTGGGGAATTTCAGAGAGTTTGAATATTAGGGACTGGGGAAGAGAATAGGACAAGAGATGTACCCGCCAGCTGAACACTTGGGTGTTACTGGTAGACCCTGCATCCCAGACAGCTTTTCAGCACACGAGGTGACCTTTGAAACCTGGAACATGTACAAGGTGGCTTTGAGGTTCCTTCCCACCTGAAGATAGAGATGTTTTTCCCTAGTATGTTTTCAGTGTCTACTAGGCGCTTGGCATTGCAGGGGGACTGTGGTGGTACTAGCGTTGCCCCGGGCAGTACCTGTACATAGGAGAGACTGTGCTAGAGGGAGAAATGTCCTTCTTTCCTAAGGTTCTAGGGGATAATGAAGGCAAGGATCTGGCCAGGCAGGTTCTTGAGAATTGTGGGTATTTTCAAGTCAGCACATACTGTGGAATTTGCTAGCTCAGAGCTTGCTAGGTAGGGAAGAGGAGGGAGCATCGTTCTTGAGCATAGGACTCACTACCTCTTGACCCAGCTGGCTTCTGGGCCCCAGTACCCAGCATTGCATCTGGGTGCCCAGGTCTTCACCCAGCTTCCTACTACAAAAGCAAACCAAAGAGCTCATAGGAAACATGGGGCTCTGTAACCAAACCTGGGATCCCCAGAAGCCTGGGTCTGGAGCCTCGGTATGGTCCACAACAGAGAACGGATGTGATTGATGACCAGCGCCACATGGAGAAATAAATGGTTGGTGGCTGTCAGGGTGGCTTGATAGGGAGGGAGGCTGGGAGAACTAAAGTTTCAGAACTTTGGAGTTGTTTGGGAGCTGGACATCAGATCCAGGTTCTCTCATGGTTCTGCTACTGACTCGCTCTGACTTTGGGCAAGTCCCTTTACCTTTTCAGCCTCCGTTGCCCTGTCTTTAGAGTGGGATGGGCTAAAGGCAGGGTGGCAAAGAGATTTCACTTCACTTGCCCAAACTGACTGATGGCTTTTGACCTCTTGGGATCTTGTCTGGAGCAGCTGCCTGGTGCCGGAAAAGCATGCCTCGGTTATGTACAGCTGTTGCCTGCCTGCGAGTCTGGGATTGGAGGTCTCTGCATGTGCTCTGCAGGTTTGCAGACCCAGGCCTATTGTCCCCACATTTCTCCTGGCACTGATGCTCTTTGATTCTCCTGTCTCTCTCACTTTCACACCAGTCATTGTCAGCCTGGGGCACGGAGCTCGCCGCCTTCCCCAAGACAGAATCATTAGATTGTTCTTCCCTGCGTGGGACGTAAGTCAGCCTCCTCAAACTTGTACCTGAAAAGGTGCCATGCTTGGTCATCATTTAATTTCTGTCTGCTAGAGGTATATGGAGCTGCTGCTTTCTAACAGTTTATGACAGTGACAGAGACAGTTGGTGAATGTTTTATGAAAACATCGGCCCAACGTGGCTCAAAAGGTAAAGGGCTTGCTGCCAAGCCTGAAGACCTGAGTTCAATCCCCAGGACCCATATGATAGAAGGAAAGAACCAACTGACAACAAGTTGTCCTCTGACATGCACCCACATGTCAAGGTGCATGCTCACACGTATATGCATGCACACACACGCCAGATAAATGTAAATTTTAAAAATAATTTACTTTATGCCATAGCCCTGTGAAGCTGGTATTATCCCTTCCGTTTTACAGGCAAGGAAGCCGAGGCTCAGAGAGTTAACAGAGCGGCCTTCTGAGACCAAGCCTGTGCACCTCTCGCCAGATGCTCTCCTGGTCCCCAGTCCTGTCCCCAACCTTCTGTTCTTCTGGCTCCCCTGAAAAGCCCACGGCCTCCCGTTCTCTCGCCCTTCACAGGTTTCCATGTGATCCCCACCATCTCGAGCATCGTCCCGGAGAGCTGCTTGCTGATCGTGGTGGGGCTGCTGGTGGGGGGCCTGATCAAGGGTGTCGGCGAGACGCCCCCCTTCCTGCAGTCAGACGTCTTCTTCCTCTTCCTGCTGCCGCCCATCATCCTGGATGCGGGATACTTCCTGCCGCTGCGGCAGTTCACGGAGAACCTGGGCACCATCCTGATCTTTGCTGTGGTGGGCACACTGTGGAACGCTTTCTTCCTGGGTGGCCTCCTGTACGCCGTGTGCCTGGTGGGCGGTGAACAGATCAACAACATTGGGCTGCTGGACACCCTGCTCTTTGGCAGCATCATCTCGGCTGTGGACCCTGTGGCTGTGCTGGCTGTCTTTGAGGAAATCCATATCAATGAACTGCTACACATCCTTGTCTTCGGGGAGTCCCTGCTCAACGATGCTGTCACTGTGGTGAGGAGTCAGGGGCCACACCACACACACATGGGGCACAGACAGTGCCTTGTCCTTCCACTGATAATATAGACGGCCAGTGTCCTTCCGTGCTTGTGTGTCAGGCCCTGCTCTGAGCAATGGAATATGGATTCCCTCTCTTATTCCTCAGGACAACCTGAGGAGAGATGCACTGTCCCCATCTTATAGAACTAGGAACAGCCCACGGAAGTTAGACAACTTGCTAGAACGTGGCGGAGCTGAGACTGAGGCAGTGTGCTTGATCCAGTCTGTTGCCTTCCACGACCCGGGCTCTTGGCCTCAGAGGTCATTTGCTTTCTGGTCAGCTTGCATTTTGTTGCCATTTTGCCCTATCACTGAACTGTTTCACGCCTTCCTTTCTTCATAGCCCATTTACTCACCCAGGAGCCTTTTTAGTTCTTGTGTTGGCTGTTTAAGAATTTGGAACATGCAGGGTTCTGTGCTCCCCTAAATCTCTAGGACCTGATAAGTAAATTTAGTAGGTCTGGATTAGTTACTTGTTTCTATGTGACTTTAAGTAAAAGGTTTTTCCTCTTCTAGGCCTCTCCTTTAACAGTTTTCAAGTGGCAGTAGTGCTATCTGCTAAAGGCCAGGCGAGGACCTGTGCCTGGCAGAGCTGTGTATCTGCACATATCTCTCAGCCAGTTTCCTCAGGAAGCAGCAGTATGTGCATGGACATTCTGTCCCCTCAAAAACTGGACTCCTAAGAAAGGGTCTGCACACAAAGGAAAACACAAAAGACACAGAGGTCCATGTGCCCAGTCCTGCTGGCACCACACTCTGTCGTCTCCAGCCCTCTGGATGCAGCACCTCCAGTAGAAAGGCTATTGCTCAGCCAGGCAGTGGTGGCACATGCCTTTAGTCCCAGCACTCGGGAGGCAGAGGCAGGAGGATCTCTGTGAGTTCAAGACCAGCCTGGTCTACAAGAGCAAGTTCGAAGGAAAAAAGAAAGAAAGAAAGAAAGAAAGAAGGAAAGGATATTGCTCACTAGCCACAGCCTCATCTTCCTCCTGTGTCCCTCACCACTACTCATACCGCTGAGTCTAGCCTGATCATTCCGTTCTCCACCCTGGTCTCTTCTAGCAGCAATCCCTGCCAAGGGTTACACATGAACCTCAGCTTGTGCAGGACACACAGAAGCTAGCCTGTCTATTTCCTGGGAATCCTATAGGATTTCTGCTCATTAATGTGTGTCCTAAGCCAGTTGGTACCTAAGTTGAACCCTCCCCAGCTGCGTCTGGGTACGAATTCATGTTGACACTACTGAAAGCAATGGCAAGCTTGCATCAAGGTGATAACTCAGATCTGGGTTTGCAGGATCTATGCCATCTCCTGACAGTGGTGATCATGTGGCCCGTGTTCATCTGCTTCCGGTCTGGGTGCATCTTGCTTTATCTGGTTTGCATAGTGATTCTGGCTGTCTTCAGTAGGGTTTATATTGCAGTGATAAAATACCATGAGCAAAAGCAGTTTGAGGAGGAAAGGGTTTATTTCAGCTTACAGTCAGGTCCCGTCCCAAAACTGAGGGAAGTCAGTACAGGCACTCATGGCAGAGACGTGGAGGTAGGAACTGAAGCAGAAACTAAAGGAGAGCTGCTTATTGGCTTGCTCAGCCTGCTTTCTTGTATAACCCAGGACCTGATGGAAGCATCTTCTCAGCTGAAGGTCTTCTTCCCAAGTAACTCTAGCTTTTGTAAAGATAACAAAAAATGTCTGGGCAGTGGTGGTATACACCTTTAACCCCAGAACTCAGGAGGCAGAGGCAGGCGGATCTTTGTGTTCGAGGCCAGCCTGGTCTGTAGAGTGAGTTCCAGGACAGCAAGGGCTTATTCCAGGAAAGAGAAACCTTATCTCGAAAAACAAACAAACAAAAAGATAGCAAAAAATAACCAGGACGGTAGCATTTTTATCCAAGTGTTAGCACCTGAAGAAATTGAGGTTGGAAGGCTCCACTGTCAGGCCAGGGATGCTGCTGGAGTCACATGACCCTACACACAGGTCCACACGACATTCCCTTGGCTACTCGTGACACCAGTGGCCCACGTGGCACACCACGAGCACTCGTGAGCATCCCCAGGCCAGGAGGGAGGTTAGCCCAGGGAGGAGCACACCTGCTGCTGAGATCATCCTGTCTCCCAGATAGGTGTGGCCACAGTGACACTGCACCTGAGCCTCCTGGCATCAGGTCTCTGTCCTGTCACCCTCTTCTGTCACCTCTCCTGTCTGCCTCCCCTTCCTTCCAGGCCTGGAAAGCCCCTATCTGGTTCCTGGCAGAGCTGTATAGGGCTGGACTTGAGTAGACTAGGGAGCCACCACGTCAGTCCCTCAGAACAAAACCCAGAGACTGAGGGAACAAATTCTAAGCCCGGTCCTGCCCCCTTGGCGGGCCCCTCTGGCTTGTTAGTTGGTATGTCTGAACCTCCCTCTAGCAAGGAGATAGGTATCCTTGGCCTGCACACCAATAAAGATCGTCGGTATGTGACGGTCATTTGCAGACTGTTTCCCATTCCAGGGCTGGGAAGCTGTAGGGGGGGGGGCTCCAGCTCCAAGGCATCCGAGCTCGGCTGTTCCTGCAACTCCCTGGGCAGTTTCTTTACATGGAGGTTTGTCAGTCCCACTTGATGGATCCCAAGTTGCATATGACCCTGCCCCATGAATTTTCAGAGGTTAACAGTTCCTATCTTGGTTTCCTGTCCAAACTTCCCTGCTTTGTGCTAAAGGAGAGGCAGTCCAGAGAGGTCTCAGTTTATGCAAGGTCAAACCGTGAGATCAGTGGACTCCGTGGTACCGGTAGTGGCAGCACCACAGAGAGTGTCATCTGTGACAGCCTGTGACGTGGGCACCTGTTGAAAACTGAAACTCAGGAAGACTAGGTTATTGGCCATGTGTACAAGGGGTTGCTGTTTAGCTGCCCAGCTTTAGAGTTTATGTTCACTGCCAGCAGGGTGTGTTGCAGGCCTCCAAAGAGGAAGGTTCCTAGCCCCCAGGCCAGGGTTCTACACTTACTCAGCTCCAGGGTTTCTCTGCGGTCATGTAGGTTATGTTCATGGCTGTGGATCCTAGAGGGGTGGGATAAGCATTAGTGGGATAACAAGAGAGCCATGGGACCAGGGCCCTGATCTCCTGCCCACCAGCCTACATTCCCTTTTCAGGTCCTCTATCACCTCTTTGAGGAGTTCGCCAACTATGACTCTATAGGCATCTCGGACATCTTCCTCGGCTTCCTGAGCTTCTTCGTAGTGGCCCTCGGTGGGGTGTTTGTGGGTGTGGTCTACGGGGTCATCGCAGCCTTCACCTCACGATTCACCTCCCACATCCGGGTCATCGAGCCGCTCTTCGTCTTCCTCTACAGCTACATGGCTTACCTGTCAGCTGAGCTCTTCCACCTGTCAGGGATCATGGCGTGAGTCCAGGCGTGGCGGGTGATGGGCTAGGTAGGGGAAGCTACTTAGCATGACATGCCCAGATCTGTGTGGTCACCAAGGAGCTCCCCAGCACCTGAATGCTGGACTGCAGACTTCCCTGCTGTCCACTGGAGTGGTCCAGGTCATTCGAGGCAGCCCATAAGAAGCCACTTCCACTGGGCTCTGGGATTCAGGAATCTCAAGATTGTCTGAAAGCAGATGAGACAAAAAGCAACTTGTGTTAGGGCTAGGCTCAGTCACAGGAGGCAGACTCCTGTGTTGCCCTAGGACGCCCCGAGCCTGAAGTCTTCTCAGTCCTGCTACTTCCTCCCTTTTTCTCAAGTGGATCACAAGCTACAAGCTGGCACAGGCTCCTAGGAAGGGCATCAGCACCTTACAGGCCTGACTCATAAAAGTCCTGAGGTCTCTATTGAGTTTGCGGTGGGCCATGGGAAGATGGGAGGGACAAGGGGATCAAAAGTGCAGGGGCCAGTCTAAACTGGGGGACCCTGGTAGTAGGGAAGAAGCCTGCAGAGCTCCCTGGAGCAGTGGTTCTCAACTGTGGGTGGTGACCCTTTCATAGGGGTCACCTAAGACCATTGGAAAATGCAGATATTTACACTATAATTCATAACAGTAGTTATGAAGTAGCAATGAAAATAATTTTATGGTTGTGGGTCACCACAGCACGAAGAACTGCGTTAAGGGGCCAAGTGTTAGGAAGGTTGAGAACCACTGCCCTGAGGGACCCTGTATCATACTTGGAGAGAATGAGCCCGAGAGACCGTGCTGGGCAGATGCAGTTTGGCCTTGGGGAAAAGGCCGAGACTTTAGAGTTACACAGACCCTAGTCCCTTACATTGCCACTCACCTCAGTTGGACAATGGAGGTGACTTTATTTTTCCAAAAGTCCTGTCTCATGTCTGAAAAATGCAAGAATTCGCTGGCCCTGTATGTGTTTAATGTCAAGGAGACGCAGTGTGTGTTTTTGGTCCTTACAAGTTACCCGGCAAGCAGGTGCTTGGTCAGCCTGTTAATAGTGGGTACAACTCACCATCAACCCTTTTCTCCTTCACCCCAAGGCTCATCGCCTCAGGAGTAGTGATGCGCCCTTATGTGGAGGCCAACATCTCCCACAAGTCACACACCACCATCAAATACTTTCTGAAGATGTGGAGCAGCGTCAGTGAGACCCTCATCTTCATCTTCCTGGGCGTCTCCACGGTGGCCGGCTCCCACCAGTGGAACTGGACCTTTGTCATCAGCACCCTGCTCTTCTGCCTCATTGCCCGGGTACTGGGTAAGGGCCAGACCAGGCCGAGGGAGGAGCCAGGCTGTGAGAGCTATGTGTAACACAGAATGAGGCTAGGTTGGGTGTGTATGTGGGTGTGTATGTGTTCCTAAGAGCAGGACTACGGTATGTGGTGTGGTGCTGTTTGTGTATGTGTGGTGAGGTGTGTAAGAGCTGGGCTACAGTGTATATGACACACAGTCCTGGCTGGGTTGTGTTGTACGGTACAGTATGTAGAGGGGATGGGCTGTGGATGTCCAGTTCAGTGTATTGAGGGTGCTGGGCTGTGGGTGTCTGTGGTTTGGTATAGAAGGGCTAAGTTGTGGGTGTCTACCACAGTGTACTGAGGGGCTAAGCTATGGGGTGTGGTGTGTACGGGCCAGTTTGTGAGATGTGTGTGGTGCAGTGTGTTTGTGGCTGAATGAGATGTGTGTGGTGCAGTGTGTTTGTGGCTGAATGGTTCCTGGTTGCTCCCACTGCTTCTCTGCAATGCTGGCACCATTTGAGGCCATTGAGGGGAGAGAAGCCCCATGCTCGTAGTGAGTGTGGAAACACTGGGGACGATGTCACAGTGACTCATAGTGAAGGTCCTTAAGACCCTCCAAAAGCCCAGTGGCTCTCTCAGACCCTCAAAACAACCGAGCTTGTGACCCTGATCAAGCGTCCTGTTGTCGTGGCTCATATCCCCAAAGCTACCAGGCTAGTGTCACCTATGGGATCCACCCCCATGTGCCAGATTGCCCTTGTTTCAATGTGAGGCACTGTTTCCTTCTGTATTTTACTCCCTTTCCTCTGTGATGAGAGCCAAGTCTGTGGTTCCTATTGCAGTTGTTTGCAGCCCTTTGTATGATGGTGTGTGTGTGCCTGTGCACATGGAAGCCAGAGGTCCACAATGGGTGTCTTCCCCTGTCCCTCTCTACATTTTTGAGTTTTTTGTTTGGGGTTTGTTGTATGTTTCTATGTTTGTCTGAGATAAGGTCTTACTGGGCTGGAACTATAGGGAATCCTGCCTCAGCCTCATGAGTGCTGGGATTGCAGGTGTGAGATTTTGTGGGATTTTTATTGTTGGCAAGCAGGTTTTGTTTGTATGTTCTGTGATGCTAGGGAACAAACTGAGGGCCTCATGCACGCAGGGCAAAACACCCTTCCTCGTCCCTCCTCTCCTTCCCCTGCATTGTGAAATAATGTCTTATTATTTTCCAATATATAGAAAAGTGGAGACAATAGGATAATGATTTCCCTCCTGCTCACCTGTTTTAATAAGTAACAATTCATCACCACTCTATCTCCTCCTACCCCTTGACCTGTAGCCCTGAAGGACACTGGGATATCTTCAGAACAGATGCAGGTGGAAGAACCCTTTGAAGACCCACTGAGGTCTTGGGTTGAGTGAACTGGAGCTCCTGGGCTGAGGGACCCAGGAAGTGAGTGAGCTAGATGGGCTTAGTGGGAGGGACTTCCTGGACAGCCTGACCTCTCCTCTTCCTGCTTCCTGGCAGGTGTGCTGGTCCTGACCTGGTTCATCAACAAGTTCCGCATTGTCAAGCTGACCCCCAAGGACCAATTCATCATCGCGTATGGGGGCCTTCGAGGGGCCATTGCCTTCTCCCTGGGCTACCTCCTGGATAAGAAGCACTTCCCCATGTGTGACCTGTTCCTCACTGCCATCATCACTGTCATCTTTTTCACAGTCTTTGTGCAGGTGCTGGGCTGGGCTGGGCATGCCCCTGCCTTGGGGACCCTGACTTTTCTGGTGGAAAGGGGAAAAGTGAAAAGGACTGTGGGTACTCTGTGGTTAACTTGCAGCAGAGGGGGCCTCAGTTCTCGGGTGTGGCAACGTGACATTGTGAAGTCAATGATCAGTGTGTGAAGTGACAGAGTGCTACCCAACTTCATTAAGAGCCTGTGAAGCACCATGGGTAGCTGGCAGGCCTGAGATATGACTGCCCCAGCTCACAGTAGGGCTGCAGTGGCTTCCTGGTTTGTCATCTCCGTCAGCACAGCATAGGTAGCTGCACCATCTCTTGAGCCAGGAAACCTGAGACCTGGACTCAGCCTAATGCTCCACCAGCTGTGTTTCTTGGGGTGGCGCACCTGTCTGTGTCTCTGTTCTCCATTTGTAAAGTGAGGGGACTGGACTAAATGATCCCCGGGAGCCCTTCCAGCCAGTGACTTCTGGGCATTTAAATGACCCAGTCTTAGCAGAGTTCCACCCCTGTCTCTACCTAGCTCCCGGGGAGGCCCCTGTGGGATGTTACACACTGCTCTCCCATAGCTGACTGGCCTGGAACAGGGGAGAAACTCTGTTGGGTCTCCATTTCTCTTCCATCCTCTGTCTTTCCTGGGCACTAACTAGTCTTTACACAGAGCCAGGTGGACACACTTTTGCCTTCTCATGAGAAGAAGATATGGGGAGACCTCTTGGAGTGGGGTGCAGTTTCTTGGAGTGAGCTTCTTTTTGCCCTCTTGTCCTGCTCTGTCCTCAGAAGTGCTACTTTATCTGGACTTTGCTGTTGTGTCTGTTCGATGGGTTTCCAAGCCCACTTTCACTGACGGTGCTGATCCCCTCGAGCCAGCCTGACTCTGGGTCCACTCCTTCTGTTGGCCTTAGGAAATCACTCAGCCTCTACTGTTCAGTTTCCCCAGTTGTAAAATGGGAACATTTTAAGGAGCCATCTTTCGGGGATATTGCGGGCATTGAGGCACAATACTAGAGAAGGAAGTGGAGAGCCTGTGAGGAGCAGGGCAGAGGAGGGGCCCTGTCTGCAGGGCCTGACGCCTTGGGCTGCAGAGCCCACCCTGAACCCAAGCCCCAGCTACATGAGCAGTGAGGCTTGTTCCACAGGCTGAGCTGTCAGACCTCTGATACTGTCTCCAGGAAGAAGTGGGCTTTACAGACCCGCCTTTATTTACATCCTGAGGTAGAAGAGTTACAAAACCCCCAGTCCTGGGAGATTGAGGGCCTCCAAGGGGAGAGCCTCCTTGCCTCCAGGGCCTCAGGAAGAAGGGAGGTTACTTAGCCTTCCTGCCAGGGTAGCAGAATCAGGATGTCTGATGCTCACCTGCCCTCTAGGGCATGACCATTCGGCCCCTGGTAGACCTGTTGGCTGTGAAGAAAAAGCAAGAAACAAAGCGTTCCATCAACGAGGAGATCCACACGCAGGTACTGGAGGCTGGGCTGGGCCTTGGGTTGCTGGAGAAGGCTGGATCTGGGGCGCAGCTGGGCCTTAAGCCCGCCTTCCCTCATCCCAGTGTTAGGTGGTGTCTCAGCCCCACTGGGGCCCCCTGACAGGTTCTAGCTGAAGGGAAAGTGTGGTGTGAGCAGTTAAGCGTCCAAGAGGCTGTTATACCATCCCCCCACCCCTGGAAACCAGCCTCTGTCATTAGGTGCAAGTGGGTTGGGGTGGGCTCACCAGGGTATGTGGCCTGAGTTTCAGGATGCGTGAGGGGAAGGCGCCACCTCCTGGCTACTCCTGGAACTATAGGGCCAGGCTAAGCAGACCCATAGTTGGGGTGGAAGTGGGTGGGGTAGGGAAGGAGCCTAGAAGTAAGGCTTGACCTGGCCCTGGGCCCATTTCAGTTCCTGGACCACCTTCTGACAGGCATCGAGGACATCTGTGGTCACTATGGCCACCATCACTGGAAAGACAAGTAAGTGAAGGTCTGGTGGGCAGGAGGGCCGGGAGGGCAGCTAAGGGTCCCTGGGGGCCTGAGCATCTTCTCATGCCTTGGAACTCGCCCCATCCACCTCCCTCCTCCCACAGGCTCAACCGGTTTAATAAGAAGTACGTGAAGAAGTGTCTGATAGCTGGCGAGCGCTCCAAAGAGCCCCAGCTCATTGCCTTCTACCACAAGATGGAGATGAAGCAGGCGATTGAGCTGGTGGAAAGTGGAGGCATGGGCAAGATCCCTTCTGCTGTTTCAACCGTCTCCATGCAGTGAGTGCATCGGCCAACCTGGGCAGCATCTGCGCCCATGCTACCTCCCCCAGCCCTAGCCTGGGGTGGCCACTGCAGGGGGCTATGCTGTTGTCTAGCTAGTCAAGGAGTCCTGAAAGCTATACTAAGGCTTGGGACTTTGGCCGCCCACCCCTGGCCTGTCCCCCAGCATGGCCTTCTGCTGCCAAAATGGAGATCTAACCTGTGTTCTGCTGTCCCAGGAACATTCATCCAAAGTCTATGGCTTCAGAGCGCATCTTGCCAGCACTATCCAAGGACAAGGAGGAGGAGATCCGCAAAATCTTGAGGAGCAACCTTCAGAAAACCCGGCAGCGGGTAAGGCCCTCCCCAGCCTGGCGCCTTCCTAGCTGCTGGCCTCTGCACCTCCTTAGCACCTGCTCCGTCTGCATCCCCTGCCCCTCTCCTGCCTCCCACACAGCCAGAGCCTGCCTGGCCCTGGCCTTCCTGCCCAGCTTCTGAGTCCTCTCCTCCCCTGATGGCTGTTCCTCCCTCAGCTGCGGTCCTATAACAGACACACGCTGGTGGCCGACCCCTACGAGGAAGCCTGGAACCAGATGCTGCTCCGGAGGCAGAAGGCCCGGCAGCTGGAGCAAAAGGTCTGTGTTGGGCTGGGCCTGCCTCTCTCACAGGCTGGAGGCTGGATTCCTCTTCCTGCACTCGCACCCAAGGACGCCCAGGCTCTGCCGAGCTCCTCTGAGAGCATGCACCTATTTTAGATCCAGACAACAGACTGAGAGGTTTATTAATGGCGTGAGGCTTTATCCCCTGTGGGAAAGGGCAGGGATGACAGGGACACGTGTCAAGGGACACGGGGAAGTGGAGCTAGCAAGACTTGGTGACTGGGTTACTTGTTTGAGGTGGGTGGAACAGGAATCTAAAGGAAAGGACAAGGCTTGATGACGGGCAAGGGGCTGAGCTCAGGAGTGATGCCCTGGGTTTGCAATGCCTGGGGCCACACGGAATTTAGGCATGCCACCCCAAACTGTTTTTTATTGCTATTGTTCTATTTTTTGTTTTGTTTTAATCTAGATGTTAGGGGTTAGCTGTGGGTTCGAGGCAAGGCTAGCACAAAGTAGAACTGTTTGAATCTACCCAGGAAGGTGACACAGCTTGCTGAGAGCCTGGGACAAGTCTTCAGACGGCCCTTAAGTGTCTGTGTGGGTGCCCATTGAGGAACTGCCTCTGTCTTCCAGAGGACTTCTGCCAGCCCACTGCCCACACTCACCTTGTCCACTCTCTCTGTCAGATCAGCAACTACCTGACGGTGCCAGCCTACAAGCTAGACTCACCCACCATGTCTCGGGCCCGCATAGGCTCAGGTAAAGGACTAAAGAGGGGCCCTCAGGCTGGGTGTTTTGTGCCAGGGACAGGCCTCCGAGTCATAGGGGAAGACAGGCTTTTCCCATCATGACCACCCTGTTCTCAAACCCTCAGTTCCATCCACATCAGGATGGGCTGAGTGTTCATAAAGAAGGCAGCAGAGCTCTGCTGTGAAACCCAGGCACAAAGGTGCTGCTGGTGGGGCTCAGGATGGGCTGCAATGGAGCCACAGCACAAAGCACCCGGCAGGGAGGCAGACGTCACTAGTCCATGAAGAGAAACAGGTCATGACTCAGGAAAATGCCCTATTTCTTTCTTTCTTCCCTTTTTTTTTTTTTTTTTTTTTTTTTTTTTTTTTTTTTTTTTATAAACAGAGGTTATGTGTTTTATCCCCC